AAAACACACATCATTGTAAAATCAATACATTCATCACTTCGTTCAGAATCTAAAATAGTTTAAGGTTGAAGGTAAAGAAAATTCAAAAAATTAATACTACGAATTCGTTTATTTAAATTTTATTGAATTAATAACATATCTAACAATTTTTGAACTTTTACTATTGACTTATTGATACGTTTTATCTAATAAATTGTTCAAAGTATCCATTTTAATTTTCCAAACATGGTTTTAAACATCTTAACAATTCTCGTGATATTGCTGCTTTTATTTGCTYTTCAGTCATGCCATTATTGCATTTTAATCATTATTTAATCCGTATAGAAAATTGGTGTTGCCATTAAAATAAAAGTAATGAAGTACTGAGTAGTGAGAAGCTAAATATTGAATACCGTATACATGAATACACGATGATGACACACGTATACAGATAACAGACATCTGAATCATCATTTATTCTGATATTCAACTTCAGTATTTATTTAATAATTCAATTTTTACTAATCTGTGCTATGGAACAGACAGTATTGTGGTTTAGACGCTGCGTAGTAGTAGCCAGGATTTACCTTTGGTTGTGGTGGGGGTGGGTTATGTTGGCTTTAATGGGCTGATAATTTATTAATATTGTATTATTGTTATAACATGACGTATAGCCGTATGGTATAGGGAGAAAGTGGTGGCCTAACTTGGATTCCCAGATTCCCTAACCATTATAAGTTTGGAACACTGAAATAGTGATGTCATGAGTATATAACATTTTAATGTTTACCATTTAGCGTCAATTTTAATAAAAATTATAATTATTAATGGCTACGTCTATGTAATACCAAAGAACAATCACAAAATAATAAACGAAAAAATACGTTCACATCACAGATTCACAGAACACTTAATACATTATTTTTTAATGTTTCTTACAACATAAGTATTCCCTTCCCCAGGTACTCATCAGTTATAGATYATAAATACTAGCTGTTACAGTTGTGAGGACGACGATATTATTAATAATTATGAAATATTATTAAAATTATTTATAATTGAGATCTTTTAATCTAGTCATGACTTATGAGTTATGGTTGTGAATTGTGAAAAAGAGGCATCTGAGATCTGAATAATGTTATTGTGTGATAAGCGTGATAAGTCTATGTTGATAATAATAATGATTCCGTTATCGTAATCATCCATTCGGTTCGCATCCGACGAACATTTGGAGTCTGTGGTACCAAACACCTAACAATTACAAATAATAATTTAATGTTATTTCTTATTACATTCTACAGTGACTGCAGTCGAACGTTATAAGCTTTTTGGGTTCGTGGACGGTGGAAGAAGAGACAAAAACAATCGAGATATCGTCGTTCGTCGCTCGGCCAGGCGACGGCCAGTCCTGTCGGCCGTCGCTCAGTTTAGCCGTGTCGCTCGCACGTTTCGGTTGGTTAGATTTGGACAGTCTGACTTTTGTTTAGATTAGGTTAACCTAACGGCCGACGGGTAGACAACTAGAATTGGACAATCACGAACAACAGCGGTCGGTCGTCGATATATTGTAGGTACGTACACAGGTATATGTATGTGTAGATGCAGRCGAACAGTCTGTCCAGTCCAGTCGTAGTTTGCACGCATCCGYTACTTCAGAATTCAGACGTGGAAACTACCACTGTCCGAGACGGTTACGAGTTTACGACTTTACAGTCCATTGTGGCCAGTGATGTACCTATAAGACTTAGACGGATGTTTCATTGTATGCGCTTTTTTTGTGTTGCCGATAAACCACCGACAACTACGTCATCCGAAAGCAATGATATTTATTATCATTATTAATACCTAGTATAGTAAAATAATTGATTTAATGATTTAAACGAAAAATAGGTAGATAACAGCAATACAAATGGCGTGGATATAGTACGCTTAATATATATTAATATTCATTTTCCCTCATAATCCTGTTTACGTTTATCAATATTGTTAGTCTTTATGTCAAGTAGACTATTTACTCAACGTATGTCATTTTTGGAAATAATTCTTCCACAATTTTATGTCTCTCTCCTATCTATCRAATACGACATATCCCTTGTGGATTTAGGGTAGTGTAGCTGATACATGCCTTAATTACGTTCACAATACTTTTTAAAACTTTTAATATATTTTTTTTATCTAGTTGACCGATTCATCTGGACAAGATGTTGATATGCTATAGCGGTCATGCCATGGCTGTCTTGTTAGTTGCAGCACTCAGTACTGCGCCGACATGCACAGAACTTATTGGCCTGTATGAAGAYTCTGATATGATGGAAATATTGGACAGTACCAATTTTAATGACAAAGTATTGCAAGGAAATACATCATACGTGATTGAATTTTACAATGCTTTTTGTGGACATTGCATTCGGTTCTCTACTCCTTGGAAAGGATTTGGAATTCAAGTCTATGGTAAACAATTGTTAATTTAACATATTAGTATAGGTTTTATGAACATCAACTTAAATACTTGGAATCATTTATTGAAATATAATTTAAATGATTACTCCTATAATAGGTATGAACTTACTAYTTTTTAGTCACCTGYTTAAATTTAAAAATAAAAATGCAAGYGAACAATGTGCCTACATAGTTCTTTTTTATATTTAAACTCATGTGTGCATTATTAATTATTACAATTTTTACTATGAAATAGGTAGGCACTATTTTAMTTAAATTAGCATATCATTTTTGAGTTTAATCTTATAATTCTACCATCACGTTTAGATTTGTATTGTATAAATATTTATTGTATTATGGTGTACTAATTTATTATAGGAAATTGCAAAACATTGTAATTGTGTTTTATATAATACATACGTCTTGCCTGCAATTATTTTATTTTTACCACGCATATTATCATTGATTAAAACCTTTATAAAATAATTAGCAATCATGAGTTATAATATTTTGTTGACTTATTAAAAAAATTTCTGAATTATATTTTAATGTTTAAATGTTAAGTGTTTAGTAATACATAATATTATAGGATTATTAAAATAATAATAAGGTCAGATAACGTTAAWAAATAAGTGGTAAAAGGTTGTTATACCATAGCTTATAAGTATTAGCCATATGAACTAAAACATACCTTTTATTATGATTCATAAGTTCATAGGTTGAGAAAAATTAATCTGCATTGTTTCTACACTATTTAACTCATACTATTTCATCAAATATACATATTTGTCAGATTTTAAGTTACTCAATGATATTTAAAATAACACATTTTAAGTTATAATATATTATGTATTAAATACATCTACCATTAATTGTTTTAATTAAAATAAAATAAATGTTATTTATCTAACTTATTATATATTTTACTGGCAAAGTGTTGGATTATAGGCATTCTATAAGAATTCCTTAAACTATTTGACAATCTATTAAATTTGAATGTTATTTTATATTATTCCTAGGCAATCTATAGAATTCCCAGATTTTTTAGAATGCCAATATTATGTTAGGTAATGTGTTAAATCAATACCTATATAATATTTATTATTGAAGCATATAGATGATGCATGACATTTAAAACTGGATTAAATATTATTCTTTACACGCAAACATGTTTTGGATCGACATTTTGTCTTATATGTACATTTCATAAAACCTTATCCAGTTCCTGTAGATTGTTGAGTTGCAAATGTATTTTCTCTTGGAACTAGGTCAATTGTTATTATTTTT